CAGTTGGCTACCACCCAACCACATACGGCGATGTGATATGAAGCCGCTTTTCTTTATTCCCTCGGAGTTAAGGTTTCCCCTTCAGGAAGCAGCAGGTTACTTAACATGTACTTGATTTCACCATAACATGCATTATGACATTTTCTTTTCTTTTTTCTTTTTTTTTTGAGATGGAATCTTGCCCTTTTGCCCAGGCTGGAGTGCAATGGCACGATCTCAGCTCACTGCAACCTCTGTCTCTCAGGTTCAAGCGATTCTCCTGCCTCAGTCTCCCGAGTAGCTGGGATTACAGGTGCCCGCCACCACACCTGGCTAATGTTTTTTTGTATCTTTAGTAGAGATGGGGTTTCACTATGTTGGCCAGGCTGGTCTCGAACTCCTGACCTCATGATCCGCCCACCTCAACCTCCCAAAATGCTGGGATTACATATGTAAGCCACCGCACCTGGCTGACATTTTGTTTTCTTAAAAGGTCATTATCAGACCCCACAAGACTATTTCTATAAACTATGACTCAAGTATAGCCTCGTGTTAGTAGCTTAAAATAGATTTTCTTTACCTTTTTTGCCCTTTAAAAGCGAGGAATTTTTTTTTTAATGGAAAGAACATAGACTTTGATGATCAGTTCACATCCTTGCTTTACCCCTGGAAAAATGTGTAACCTGGAAAGATAGCTTAACATTCGTAAGTCACATTTGTCCAAATAATAAAAACAATGGCAACAAGACTTCAACTAATGTCTGATGTTTTTTGTATGATTAATCTGTGCCAGGTTCCATTCCAGTTTCTTTACACACATTATACCATCTCATTCTCACAAGAACTTTGCATAGCAGGCATTGTCATTTCCACTTTACAGGCAGGAACCCGAAGACCAGAGTTAAAAGTAACTGGTCCAAAATTGCCTGGTTAATAAATGGTGGAACTCGCAGTCAGACCCAAGCTGGTTTGGGGCAATACACTTGACCTTCTTATGATATGTCAGCCTTGTGAAATAGGAAAGATACTATTAATAATATCCGCCTTGTGTGATCATTTTGAAGGTTAGATATAATGTGTGTGAAACTCCTGCCACCAAAGTTGTTCCACAAGAGGCCCTAAACAAATGAGAAATCATTATTACTTTAGAATGTCCATAAGTGAAACTGATATGCCAAGACCAGTAAAAATGAGAGCCTCATAAGGAAAAGAGTAGGAGGCATACCTTTGTTTCATTTTGTTTGTTGGTTTCTGTGCTTGCTTGTTGTTCTTTTCTGTTAGGCACAGGTTTCATTTAGAAAAAATTAAATTGTTTTTTCTTTGATGAGTGCAGAAAGAATAGTTGGAAACATTGAATGGAACAGCTAATGTACCATTGTAATACTTCTCAGATTACAAAAAAGAAAATTAAATCTGTAAAATGAAAACTTTTTTTACTTTTGTCAATTCAAAGTTGTGTTATCTAGAGAGTTTTGTTAAACTCAGGGTTTCTATATGTATGATTGTCTGCTAAATTCAGGATTATAAGAGAAGAGATAATGGCGCTAACTTTGCATATTAAATATACTATGTTACCAGTTTTCCATGAAGCTTTTACTCAACAAATAATTTACTAAAAGGGCTGTGAGCTATGAGTTTCACCAAGTCTTTCCATTTCCAGTTTCGACAACAAAAGTTTCACACTTCTTTAGTTACTCTTGTGGGAGAAATCAGAATGCCAGCGATCACCTTGATCTAAGCATATTATTGGAGAAAAATTCAAGGATAGGTATTTGTTTCTTGTTAGATTTTCCTCATATTTCATCATTGGGGTCACTCCAATACATGGTACTAGAATTTGGGATTTTTATTTCATGTTAGATTGGACTCATTTTCTGGTGTTAGTCATTAAAAATAATTTCAACTCTTTGAAGAGATCTGGGATGTTTGTTATTATTCTATTGATTAAATGAAGCGATTTTATTTAACAATTGTGTTGTTAAACTTTCTATATACTTAGAATAATAATACCAAAAACTGAATGGATATGAGCTTTTCACCAAAAACTGAATGGATATGAGCTTTTCTTATTGAATTTAATGTCAATATCAAATACCTTATTGAAACCCATACTTTGAAAGCTTGATTGAGAAATTGGCAAAAGAGTTAACTGAAGTAAAAATAATGAAGCAGTTTACTGGTCATCCAGGTTATGAAAGATTAAACCATTAGAGATAAACTGAACTGTGAATATTATGATCATGGTGTTTTCGTAAATACCATCTATATCTCTGCCACCATTCTAAATAAAAGTACCCTGTCAGACGGTGAAAAGAGTAATGTTTCTTTGACCATTTCATTATTGAGTTTTCTTATATTTGAAATGTGGGAGGTTGAACTAAAATTCGTTGGTTCCCTTCTCTAAAAAGGTATAGTTATATGTGATATTTATTTATTTATATAAATAAAAATATAGAGATCTTACCTTGAAAATAACTTTTGAGATAAGAATGATAAAGTATCTAAATGGAAGATGAATAAAATTGTACCTGATTTGTAAATTATTATATAAAGAAAATGTATAAAATATGTAGAAATTGTCTATACAAAAAACTATAAACAGTGGTCCATTGCCTATTAACAAAGAGTTTCATCTTATCTAAAAAGTCTTGAATTGGCTACAACAGCAGAAGAATAGAAATTGCATAGTATAATATAACCTAAAAACATTTCAAGCCCATAGATACTCTTCTCCATGCAGCCAATATTTATGAACTTGGGGTAAGTGACCTACTCTTAGATATTTGAGCTTGGTTATAATTCATAGTCAAGGTAGCCTCCTTGTAAATAACCAAAATTAACCAAAGATTTTTCCTTATCTTCCAAAAGCAATGCCAAGTAATTCTATCCAAATTGGAAAAAAAAAAAAAAATTAGGTGTCATCAAATGGTGTTGACATAATGATATATATGTTTAAGGATAATGTAATAGAATATGCAATTAAAAGTACAGTATATAGAAAAAATAGATATTGTTTTAAAACATAAGGTGATTTAATAATATGGGTCACAGATTCCTTTTAGTTTTATAATAAATATATTGATTTCTGAAATTTGGGAATATTCCATAGTACACTTAGCTTATGCTTATGTTAATACTGAGGACAGATTGCTGTCAGCCTAATAGCATGTAGATATATTATAGTCACACTACAATCATTCTGTCAGTTTTCAATTTCCCCTTTTCCCGTGATGTTTCTTTCATCTTGTTAGCTTTCTCTCAAGACCTTCTCTAAATACCTTTAGTAGTAATTCACAAACTGTTTGTTAGTTAATAGTTCTCAAGAAAATTCTGAGATTTGGTTGATAGAACTTAGATTGTTGGTTTGTTTTTGGATTCCTAGCCAAAGTTTTATTCTTTGTTTCTTAAAAATACTCAAAAAAGTTTTTTTCCTTACTGTAAGCCCTCTGGAAATAGAAGCAAATCACCGTTTATACATTTAAAATGTGATGAAAATCACAAAATAAAGTCCAATGAAATATAGGGCTTATATCCATTAGTGCCTTAAGAAAAATCCCTGTTTTCTAAAGTGTGAGTGGGCTTTTCTGGTTTGTTTTTGTTTTTTTAAAGCTCCAGGACCTCCCAATTTTCAAGGGCACTTTGGGGCATGTGTAGCGTTTATTTGATGTATGGATGTAGATGCATATTTTCCCACATCTGTCTCTGTGGACCTATGCTTTGTGAAATCCTAAACCTTGTATTAATGCTTAGTTTATGATTCATGGTGTTCTGAGAGCAATTATATAATTTTTTCTTGGGGTGTTTATTCTGTGTGCACTGTAAAAAAAATGAGAGTTATTTTTTGGTAACCCTGCACTTGCCTTTTTATTGATGAATTTCTTTTCCTTTTACTGTGACCTGTGAATATCACTGTAGGCTCACTGCCAATTTTGTGAGCTGCTGCCTGCTTCAAAATGGAGGCAGGAAGGTATCCATTTTCATCAAGAGGATGACAGTGTTTCAGTCTTTCTGACCATCTGGAGAGAGGAACTTTGAGAGCAAAAGAAAATGGGGATTTAAAAAAATTATATTTAGCAGAAAAGGCAAGGGGGAAAACCAATTGAAGTTAAACTATACCTTATGAATTTGTGCTTTTCTAATATGCTGTCCTGTTTAAAGAAAACATAAACAAGAAAATACACAGGCTATTTTTATAAAGAATTGATTTCCCAAGTCTCATGAGTATTAGTAAATGAATGTAAGTAAATTAGGTTTTTGGCACACTTTTTAAGTTTATTGTACACACAAATATAATAAGCACGAAAAAGGAGGGCTCCCTCCTCCCGCTTCCTTTGCATACGCTGATTGTTGGTGGTCTTATGTAGATCCAGGCTTTTAATGGCCTTTTTCATGCATCTCTGCAAAAAGCTGACACTGTGGGAATTTAATATTCTAAGATATCTTTATCATTTTCTGTGGTTTGGATAGTTCATTTGTGTTCTCTGTCTCTCCCTCTGTCTCTCTCTCTCTCTCTCTCTCTCTCTCTCTCTCTCTCTCTCTCTCTGTTTGCTCCCCCCTCCCCTCCCTACCTCCTCTCTGTAAAAGTGAAATTTTTAATTGAAAGGTAGAGTTTTTACTCTACCATTTGAAGAGGTTTGATGCAGGTCTTTCTGTTTTTACCTTTTTTACATGCTTATGGACCATCTGTGTTTAGAAGAAAAAGAAAGAAGTGCTTAGACTCACAGGATTACCCTATGGGCATTATACAGCGTATTTACAGCTAGACATGGTTTACATCGACTGGAATATAACACACCTGGTTATTTTCTATTCACACAAATACACTGAGCTTTTGTTTTGTTTTGTTTTGTTTTGTTTTTATTTTAGTGTGTTCAGAAAGGGCACTGTTTCTAGGGTTTGTTCAGATTTAAACTGGAAAGAGTAGAAATGTAGCACTTTCTGCCTACTTCTTATAAAAGAATGGAACTTCAGATGCTTTGGTCAATGCAAAAAGCAAAACTCAGTTGGTTCTTTCTCCTCAGGTCTATGCTCCATCAGCAAGCACTGCCGACTACAATAGGGACTCACCAGGCTATCCTTCCTCCAAACCAGCAACCAGCACTTTCCCTAGCTCCTTCTTCATGCAAGGTAAGATGCTGCTGCTTCTGAGGGAAAGGCCACAGGGTAGCATCTTCCTGGGTCACTTAATGTCACAGATAGGGCAAAAGAAGTGGAATAGTAGACGCGTGTAGAATTTTTGAAGTCATACTCTTCTTAGGAATTGAATTCCTTAAAAATTGATTATTAATTAAAACTGTACTAGGCCTTTCTTTACAATTAAACCCCTTTGAGCAGTAATGGGTTAAGATTAGATTGATCTGCTTCACTTAGAGCCAATGCTCCTGCCGGTCTTCCATGCATGACCAACCATTTCAGCATATTCACCATCCCCAAGACGATGTAGCTGTTAGTTTAGAAGTGGTTCATCTTCATGTATGTTTAGAACATCCTGGATTTAGCCAGCTGGGAACAAGTTGGCCTAATGTATAACCTTACGTAAAATTTTCATCCACTTACTAATTCGTAGGTAAGAACAAGGCTCCAAGATGAAGTAACCTACCACAGACTGGAATATTACATGGTGAAAGTTCTGTCCCAACATAGTAACTGGTTTAGGATAAAAGACCCAACTTTTGGGGGAGAAGACAAATATAGAAAATACAGAATTATCCAGTATGTTTAAATACATGGATGTGTGTCCCTACACTGAGCTTTTAGTCTTGCCACGGATAGCGTATACCTTTCTGCTGCTCAAAAAAGACCAAGATGTGACCGAGTGCAGTGGCTCATGCCTGTAATCCCAATACTTTGGGAGGCCAAGGCGGGTAGATCACAAGGTCAGGAGATTGAGACCATCCTAGCCAATATGGTGAAACCCTGTCTCTACTAAAAATACAAAAAATTATCTGGGTGTGGTGGTGTGTGCCTGTAGTCCCAGCTACTCAGGAGGCTGAGGCAGGAGAATGGCGTGAACTTGGGAGGCGGAGCTTGCAGTGAGCCGAGATTGTGCCATTGCACTCCAGCCTGGGCAACAGAGCGAGACTCCGTCTCAAAAAATAAATAAATAAATAAATAAATAAATAAATAAATAAATAAATAAATTTTTTAAAAGACCAAGATGTTTGAAATGACAGCAGCTACTTCAAGAATGAACCACTTGGAGTATGCTCCTAAGGACTCCATCCTGATATGTGTGTGGCACTTATTTCTAATGTAATTATCTTGTTACCAAGTTAATGCCCTGAATTTAGATGAGGAATTTACCAAGAACCCCTGAGTGCAAAAATTTAACTCTTTTTGCCCAGGTATGAAAACCTTATTTGTATAAGCCTTGTCTACGGGCCATGGGTTTTCTTTCTTTATGCACCTCTAGGAAGGGCCATGTCACAGGAAGGGGAGCACATTTGGGGCAGAGAGTACCAGGGAAGCAGCCTCATTATAGTGGACACACTCAAAGTCGTTCTCATTAAAAGATATTAATCTTCCTTCCCTTCAGTGTGTTAGCTCTTTTAGTTTGTTAGTTCACATGTGAAATTCCATGGAAATTTATAAAATTGGGTGGAATGGCTCCCTTGGGAATAGAGAGAAGTTGTTCCACACATAATAGAGCTCATGTGTCAGAAGTCTTTTATCTTTGTGACCCATCCTAGGTGTAACTCTCAAAGGGACACAGCAGGCTATGTCACCTGGATGCGTTTTGTGCCATGACAAAAAGCTTATCACCTTCAGCTGTAAACAGTAGCTACCTCAGCATCAGTCCCCTCTTTGGTGAGCAGTGGGAGATATTGTCCTACAGGTGTTTACAGAGATTGGCAACTCAAGGATCCATTACACAAAACAGATTTTGATTGAAAAAATTGGTGGAAGGATACATTTCTTCTATCTGCCCAGGAAAGTGGCTTTCTCAAAGGGTGCACATTGCTGGGTAGGCCAGGTAAATTAAATCAGTAGGCTTCTTTCCCTAGCAGACCACCCAAAATATGGGGAACAAATTTGTTTCTCTGCATATGCACACCCAAAAAGCAAAAAAAAAAAACAAAAAAAATTGAGTTGACATTTATGATGAGCACAATTAATTTGCACACGTCTAATTCTATTCTTTCAAAACAACATTATGCCAAGATCATGGGATGTGATAAATATTAATTTACTGTGAAAAGCATAATTTATGTAGAATATGTATTTTTATAAGTCTGCATCAAGCAGAGTATTCTGTGTTAACAGTCCTAAATGCATTGCCACCCAGTGTATCACATTGTCAGGAGACTTTTGTTCAGTGGTATATGTTTTCAATTTATTTGTCATGTGTGCCATCTATTTAAAATGTTAGTGGTCTTGAACTTCATATTTGAATTTAAGGTGATATTTAAACCTTCGTAATCTAAGGACAAAAGCTCAAGTACATGAATGATAACTTTTTAAAAATCCTGTGTTTTCACATCATGGCCACAGAAGCAGTTGCATCACGGTCCTGTCCCATATCAGCTTCCCTTCAGTAGAGGGTTACTTGGTGCCCTGAGAATTCAGTACTTGAAGGAATATGCAATTAAGGTGAAAGATATTCAGAAACTGTCTGGGGCATATTGTAAACTCACTACTGTGGCCTCTTATTTTTAACTTCTATTTCCATCTTCTAGTTAAAACTCTGAAGTTGTCAAAATCACAGACATGATTTTGCTTGCATGGTTCTTAAAGAGAGGAATCTACAAACTGTTCCCCCCAATCTGAAATGAGTCCAGTTCCAAAATTCTAACTTCCGGATTTAAGAACTCAGTGAAAAAGAGCTTCATGAAATACAGTGTCAGATTTAACTTTTCTATTTCCTAACTTTTTAATAGGCCTTTATTAAATAAAATGTTATGGTAAAAATAATCTTATTTTCAAGGAAGCAATATCTGCTATACATTTAACAGCCAGCTGATGGCCTGGTATATACCTAGTACTCAATACTTTTTGTTAAAGTATTGAAAAAAAGAAAAAAATGAATGAATTTAGCAGTAATGTAGATCTTCTTTTCCCTTAAGCTTGGGAAACCAAACCTTAACAATAGCAATTATTAATAATAACCTGTAGGCCAACAGGCCCAGAGAATGAAAAAATCTGTAGGGATGTTTTTAATAATGGTGTTAACAAAAGGTTAACCTCATATTGAAAGATACTTTATATATAATTTTAAACCTCTATAATTCTTAAATAATTTTATAAAATCCAGAGACTCTCAAAATTATCTGTAATATAATAGCCACCTAGTACATGTGTGTACCCTTTGGATTGCTACTGAAGGTTTAAGATAGCTATATAGCTATACACCAAAAAATACAAATAAAATATCCTAAGAACTATATATTTGAGATTCATCTTCTCTGTATGCCATAATATAATTAAAATTCCAACTTTAATTCTATTGCGTATGTTAAAAATGAAATTAAACATTTTCAACCTAAGATTTTTTAAAATTAATACTTCTTTATATGCTTTTAAAACTTGTCAACTTTGTAATTTCTCAAATACTTTTCACCCCAAAGTTTAGGAACAATTTAACTTTTTAGTTGGTTTTCATAGAAAAAAGGGTTAGAAGACTTCTAAGAAATGTTTCCTTTAGCAGTAATTACCTTGCTGACTTGACATGATTCGTGGTAGAAGTATGCTCTGTTGTTCTTTTACAGTTGAATTTTTACCAAGAACACTTTAAGTGTTTATATTTGTTTGACAATATAGAGCCACTTGGGAAGAAATGATGACTGTCTTCTGATGTAATCAGCTAACAAACACAAAGATGAATAACACAACAGGCAGTCATTTTCAAGTATATGAAAAAACCCTATTCTATAAGGCAAGGCTGAATGCCTCAGAAAGTCATGGTTCTCTTTGTCCTTTACAGATGGCCATCACAGCAGTGACCCTTGGAGCTCTTCCAGTGGGATGAATCAGCCTGGCTATGCAGGAATGTTGGGCAACTCTTCTCATATTCCACAGTCCAGCAGCTACTGTAGCCTGCATCCACATGAACGTTTGGTAAGGCAGATGTACACGATAATGGGAATATCACAGCTAGTTTATTATACTTCATCCTCTGTCTTTCCGTGCATGTACACAAGGACTCTGCAAATAAGTGCAAAAATTGCACACACCCATTGTTCTTAAGTTGTATTCTTTCTGTGATCAAAGACATAACAGGATCAGATCACCTTTGTAAATCCTTCCAGATTCTCTCTGGCATTGTTCTTTTGTTTATTGTGTTTTGCTCTGTGCCTTCTTTATCACAATGTCAGCTTCCTTGAGTACATAAATAGATACTTATTTAAGTTGCAAAATCTTAACATGGTGGTTCCTGGTCATTTTTTGCTATCTGTAGTTTCAAAGGATGTACTGCAGAGGGCAGAGTGATGGTCAGTAGGTTATATGCATCACCCAGGAGCATTTAATTTCCCCTTGACTGGCTTATGTCAGCTTTGGCCTGTTGTGATGTATCCAAAAGAAGAAGTTTATATTTTCTGTAGACTTCCATCAGTAAGAGAAAGCATGAGGTTTCTACATAGATCAGATTCCCATTTTTCAGTATTTTGATTCCCATCCTAGCCTGCCACTCATACTGTGTTTTGCCTCACTCCAGGTGAAAACTGCTGGGCTCTAGAATGTTAAGTCTTTCATTACTAAACATTTGCACTCTGTCCATCACCTACATTCATCTATCATAGTATGTCTCTTTATCCTGAAGGAAACAACTCAACTGACTTTCTTCTAGCCTTAAATGTCACCACAGCCCAGAATCCACTGTTGAGCTTAAGTCTGTCATTAAAGGGAGGAAAGAGCCTAGATCTTGAGTGAGATTTGGGATGCAGATAAGAAGAAATTTGAATCCCTTGTGCAAGAACATAGCTTAATATGTGAACCTCAAATCCTACAAATGTGAAAGCATATGGGAAATCCAGTGATCCTAGGTGATACTTACACCACTACTCTTCATCTTGCATTTGTCCCTTTTTCTTCTCATATCCACACATAGGTTTCTTTTTCTGTTCTGATAAAGGAAGTCATTCTGGATTCATGTGGTCTTTGCTCTCTTTTGCTTAACCAGTACATATAAGAAACAGGATCTGATATCCTACTCCAATAATCAAAAAAATTCCAGAAGTTAAGATTTCTGATATCCTTGAAAATCCATATTTAGTTGTTCCTAGTGGTGGAGATGCCTTAGTAGTCAATTAGCCTGTACATTCCTGAGAGGCAAACAATGGAAATGGAATGGGCCTTTTTGTATCATCTCCCAAGACTGAATGTATAAATCACAAACTATCTCACATTTCAGCACATTTCCAGTAAATAGCAGATGACTTGTTTTCAAATTTTCTCTTCACCCACCTCCTATTTGGAGATATTAGAGTGAAAGCTTAGAGAAATGTCAACTATATCAACTATTATTATGCTAGAATTCGTTTTGGCTAAAATTTTCATTTCTCCACCATCATTTTCCAATTCTCTGGGAACTCATCATCAGTCAAAACTATATGTGTCCTATGAGCAAGGAAAGTTTTGATTACAAATAAAAGTTTTAGGCACTATACCAGCATGTTGGAATTTCAGTTCTTTTAAGAGTTGCCCATTTGACGTTGATTTTTCTTCCCTTCTGTGTTTCTTTCTTTTCCTGTCATTCTTGAGAGTTTTGAGTTAGGCGATTTGATTTTATCCTAGTCCAGTTCACTGCTTGGGAAGCAGCTTTAAAATGTGCTTCCATGCACAAAGAGTGTAATTTCAAAATGGAAACCAACTATATTCCTTTTAGAAAAAGTCTTACAGAACCAAAACAGTATTATCAACCAGAGAGAAAAGAGCATTTTGAAGTAGTAACCCAATAGGCTATATCAGAAGCTATATTTGCAATGCCATTTACCTATCACAAAACACAGGATTTTCATTTTTCATCTGATCAGTTAACAGATTTCAGAGAGTAGAATTTTTGTTTTAAAGGGGACATGAATAAGCTATCTTGTAACGTATACTAATGAATTTTCCCACTGTTAGTGAAACTATTGAATTATTGTATCTAGTTATCATTGTACTTGCAGTATTTAACCATCTGAAAGTCTTTTACTGAAGTGACTTAGAAGAATCTGACACTGAGAATACTTTGAATATACAGTAGCAGTTGGTGTCGTTTCAGTTGAAAATAATGGTAGTTCCTTATAATTTTATTCTTAGCATCTGGCTAGCCCCATACTAAACAAAGGGATAGTTTAAGAAAAAGCTAAGTGCTGTTCCTGGATTATTTGGGGGATAATTTGGCCAAGTTGATATTATCTCTAAAGATAAAACATTTTAAAAACATCATTGCCTTCATCACTTTATGCCATGTTATAACAGAATGTGTAATTATAAAACTTCAGATCCACATACTTTCAGTAGCAACTGTCAAGTTACCAACGTTTAGTCTTTAAATCCCCTTTACAGTTTTAGCCTGTCCAACAGAATCCCACAGCTAATCATTACTGTGTTACAGATACCCACACAAAATCACTCAGATGAATGGAGTTTGCAATTAAGCTTTGGAATGGGTTGTTGTAGATGATTTTACATTTGGAATGACTTGGCAGGGTTCTTTTTAAGAACAGGATAGAGTCCTCACTGTCTGGCATGATTTAGGCATGGTCTTTGCACTACAGGGCGAAACAGTCCTAGGAATCTGGAATTTTCCTTTAAAGGAAGTTCTGTTGTCTTTTATTTTTTTTGTAACATAAACCCTTACTTCAGTAATTCTCAACTGATGGCAGTTTTTCCCTTTGGGGAACGCTTGGCAATGTCTGGGGACATTTTCATTGTTACAACTAGGGACTAGATGCTACTGGAATCCAGTGCATAGAGGCTAGGGGTGCTGGTAAACATGACGTCATATACGGGAGAGCTTCCACAGCAAAGAATCAGTAGTGCCAAGGTTCAGTAGTGCCAAGGTTGCGAAATCCTGCCCAAACCCAAAGCATGATTTTATTCTTATTTATGTGCACCAGTTATTATATTTTTCCAATCTTTGAGTTATCAACCAGCATATCACTAATGGAAACATTTCCAACAGTTACTTTGTTACTAGACACAAAATACACTACTCTTGGGCATCACAAGTTAAAATGAATGAATAGTGGGCATGTAAAGCCTCACACTTTGTCACACTCCTCATGTCCTTTGTAGCAAGCAGGAAAGACAGTAATAGCTGGATTGAGAGACTAAGAGGACCTCTTATAGTTGATCCCTAAATCCTCTAAAAGAGACATTATTCTCTGGTGTATTTATTACATCTCTGAATGACAGTAGTTTTCAAGATAGTTTTTAATGTAAAATAATCTAGTTATAAATCTCATTAGTTTATTTCAGCATCTAATTTTCTGCGAATCTCTAAAAATAACTGATTTACATGGATTTCATTGGTTTCCATCTTTATAATCTGTGGGGATTAATTTTTCCTTTTATTCTGTGAACTCAGCATTAACCCTTCATCAAATCCCAAATTACTGCCCGTTTTACATAAAGTTAAAAGGGCCCAAAGATTCTCACCAATGTGACTATCTGTTTTGTTTTGTTTCATCTTCTGATTATTATAGTTAGTTAAATATTTATTATTCTTTTCCTCTTTTTTTGATTTTTGTACATTTCAGACTGATTTGTAGTTTGTTCTTCAGAAATTCCACATGGAATAGGACTGTGTAGAAGTGAAGTTAAACTTAGTCATCTCTTTGTTGTTGTTGTTGTTGTTGTTGTTGTTGTTGTTTGAGATGGAGTCTTGCTCTGTCGCCCAGGCTGGAGTGCAGTGGCGCAATCTCGGCTCACTGCAAACTCCGCCTTCCAGGTTCATGCCATTCTCCTGCCTCAGCCTCCCAAGTAGTTAGGACTACAGGCGCCCGCCACCGAGCCCAGCTAATTTTTTGTATTTTTGGTAGAGACAGGGTTTCACCGTGGTCTTGATCTCCTGACCTCATGATCCACCTGCCTTGGCCTCCCAAATTGCTGAGATTACAGGCGTGAGCCACCGCGCCCGGCCCGTCATCTGTTTTTTTGTTCTTTTTTCCACATTCTGTTTGTTTTCCTCCATTTTCTTATAGTGTTTACCTCTATAGCAGAAATAGCTCTATCCCTGCTAAGCTTTCAGATTAGCTGTACTATGGAATGAGCCCACTATTATTTTTCATTGGAGAAAATTCCATGGACTACCTGGGGCATTCATTAAGTGGCAAGTAGAAGTGAGTTTAACAGGTAGCCTAAGGAATTTTGGGGTCAAGGAAAGAAAGAGGTCCATGGAATTTAAAAATTTGGAAGGCATTCTCAGGAACTTGGAAAGATGTAAAGGCATCATCTTAACTTTTTTACTGACGTCCTTTAAGTTGGGCTGTTTTGGTTTTCCAGAGGTAATATTTTCAAAAACATTCATGTATCATTGAAAATCCTACCTCTAATACATAGATTCATTTCCTTAGACTAGTTGGCTCTCAAATAAGTTATACTTCAGTCCACTGTTTAGTAAATTCTAACTGTTAACCAATTGTTCATTGAGCATATGGTATAATTATGTGTTCAGTAGTTAGCCGCAGGTTGTGGGATGCAGAACTATAAGCTCTATTCCTTTAAATAGTTTACAATATAGGTGAAAATACATTAGAAAGAGCAAGAAATGAAAGGCAAAATATAATTAAGTGTTAAAGAGCATAGTGCAGAATGTAAGTGCATTAGGGACCCAGAGAGAAGATATGGTGGAAGAGTTGGAGGTAGTTAGGGACTCTTCAAGAAAGAGGTAGAATTCAAGATGGATCTCACAGAGTAAATAGGGCAACACTCAAGAGACTATCATTTCATTCCTCCTGAGCAAATGCTTGGGTTTTAAATACCCGTGACTATCAGCATCATATTCAATCTCTAATTTTGAAATAAACAATTTTAAGAGCGTTTCCAATAATGATACAATAAAGCCTCATCGTCTATTAATATATTGCATATGAGGAAAAAGTGTATTTTAGCTTTAATACTTTACATAACACATTCAGATGCCTATGAGAATAACTTTTGAAGCTGCTTTTTATCAAAATAGCTCAGCACGTTTTTGTAAATTACTATGTCCATTTTAGTGATCTGTTCATTCCCAAGCAGATGGGTAGATTGCAAATAATTTGCCACCTTACAGGCACTGTGGCATACCCAAGAAAGGCAGCTTATTTGGAAAACTAAGGTAATAATTAAACTCAAAGCAGAGTCTTAAACCAAATGATTCTGTAAAGATGTTGTTCTTTCATTGCCAGCTATATGAGGATTGCTTGTAGGTGGGGCATGTAAAGAAAGGACTCAAACCAAAATAAGTCATGTGGTCCTAATTTAATTCAGTATAGTCAATGGTTACATATTGATGAGTAAGAGAGATATTTAACCATTAGTGCTTTTTAAATTTTTTATTTACTAAATTTTATTGTTGCTGGGGTTCAAAAATAATAATTTAATTTGGGAAGAAGAAGATTGGAAACTGGTTAGTCTTTGCCATTTAGTTTCAAGAAAGTCAGGATGAAATGTAATATAAGCCCTGTGGATCATAATGTTGTTTTGTTCATTATATAGTGGAATCTTTTCCACTTGATCAGCAGGCCACACACAAAAAATTAATAGTAGAGTGGTCTTTTATGCCGCTGAAACCCTGGAGATGATTTTAAACAGTAATCTGCAGATTTCAAGATTGTGATCATTTCTCAATGCCCCTCATTGCCATTATATTCCTCCACAGTTGATGCAAACCCAAGCTAACTGTGTTTCTGTATAACTTATTATTTGAAAAATGAAAGCTGTCAGATCTAAGCAAGATATATTCTTGGCTATTTTGAAATTCTAATAGCTGTCTCCATTGTAAAATAGAGAGTTGTGAGAAAAGTATTTGAAAATAACTCACTGAATACCTTATGATTAAATATGGCCACCTTTTTCTGCTTCTTGCTATAGAGCTATCCATCACACTCCTCAGCAGACATCAATTCCAGTCTTCCTCCGATGTCCACTTTCCATCGTAGTGGCACAAACCATTACAGCACCTCTTCCTGTACGCCTCCTGCCAACGGGACAGACAGTATAATGGGTGAGTCACAGAAATGCCAATTCTGATACCGACAATCGGTGTCGGGGTTTAATCATTAAGGACCTCTTTTTCCCTTTCATAACTGAATAACAATTAGGCAATAAATATTAGTCACATAACAGAATGAACACACAAATGAACCAATCAGAAGTGAAATCACTGGCTTGAGCATAACCGTATTTTTGGTCACAAGACACTGAAATTTAACTACGTTCTCCATCGCGAGTCATTAGATTGAACAAGGGTTCAAACAGACCAAAACTATCTTGTTCTTCACATTCAAAAGAGTGAACAAAGTCATAAGACGAGCCTAGTGAGACTAGGAGCTACAAAGCAGAATAACTCTTAATGGTAGTTATCAACCACTTCCCAAAAATCCAGTCATTGTGCTAGGCTTTTATCCATGGTGTGCCACTGTCTTCCGAGGACTGGTTAATGTGAAATTCTCAGGTGACTGATAATAACTCCATGAGGTTAATCTTCTGGAGAATGTGACACTGTGGAGTCCCTCAGAGGGGAAGAAGTATTTGTTCACCAGAAATTATTTGTTGCTGCTTTTAATTAATTTATTTATTTATTTTTACCAAGGACATTTACCAATAAGTTAAGATTCAAGAAGAATGCTGCCCCCATGAACTGAGCCATCATACTCTCATTTATCATGATGTTCACTGTGGTCTTTTCCGTAGGACAGGTGATTCCCCGATCAGCATTCCCACTTTGAGGAATGAACTGAACTGGATGTCCAGCTGCCCCTGGAGGGTAGAGGTGGAGTTGGTGGGGAGATAGCTACCTGCTTCTGAACCAGCTTTGACACCTTGTTGTTCAGATGAGCAGCAAGCTTAGTGCACCAGGGTCTTATTAAAACCTCAGACTTCTCAGGTGATCACTTTCTGTGGTTCTAGCTCAAACTAACTCCTTTCTTGGCCTGAATGTCACTCTTAGAGCGTCAGTGGGGAGAATACTCAGTGTATGTCTTTGAGAGAAGATTGCGCAACAGAATAATGGTGCTGTTGAGTCCTCTTAGCTCTTTGTACTTGTTTTCTTTAGAGAGTGTGTAGAATTTGGGGAAGTAGCGTGAATCACTTATGTAGGAACGTTTTTCATGAAGGAGGAGAGATGTGTTTTGAAACGTTGGAAATATAATTTCTGCCTCAATAATGCCCTCTCTGCTTATTCAATAATATATTTCACACTTGAGATGAGCCATCTCGAAGCCTCTCCACTCCACTATCATGTCTAAGAAGCAAATTGAGGAGAGAGTTTCCATTTTTTTAACTTTTCCTAACCAAGCTTCTACAAATATGTTGCATCAGTTTGACCTTGGAGAGCTACAGACAGAGGTCACATGGGGAAGTTTGTTAGCTATCAATGCAGTTTTGGCAGATTTGAAAAACAAGAAGAAAGAAAGCAGTGCAGAACTGAAAGAGTGAGAAAAGCATATTTCACTTCAGTGTGGTTTGACAAATGGAAAGCCCCTTTCTGCAGTCATGAGGTCTGGTTATGAAGAAGGATGACCGGTCATTCATCCTTTTACATGACAGATTTCCTGTCTACTTGTGGTTTGAGTAATTTTCTTTTTTAGGAAGGTATGAAGGTGGAGCAGAACCTTGAGTTGAGGAAAACATATTTAGGCGCTGTTTGAAAAAAAGTTTTTCTGATTGATTTGCAAAACAGTCCTCTTGAGAGAGAGGCACTATGACTTGGAAAGGACATATCAGGAAATGGGGTGGTTATCTCCATGAGCTGTAGACAGCTTAGCCACAACTTTCAGTGGGAATGAGTTTTGCTTGGTTTTAGCTGGTCATTGTCATTAGTTTGTGGATGAACAGGAGAATCCACTTGTTGGTCTAGCCAGAGTGGAGCAATAGGTGACTTCTGTATGCTGAGAATAGACTTAACTTGTTAAAAACCATAGGGCCTTATTTAAGGGTCTTGATAATAATAAAAGCGCTATAATTTAAAAACAAAAGTATGAGATTTTTAGAACTCAGGAAAGGGCTTTCTAGAAATTTATTTCATATAATGGATGCACTTGTCAAAATCCACCAGCAGAATGATAAAAAGATGCATAATCTTTCAGGAAATAGGTAGACATGGTAATTCAGCATTTTGTAGGCACAAACCTTTATTATTATGCATAAATACAGATATTACTTTAAGGTTACTTTAAGGGAGAACATTCAAGAATGCTTTTCTTTAAAATAATATTTTCACCAATTGCGTACGTGAAAATGCAGAGGAAAATTTAAGCATAATAAGCCTTAGTATTGCGTGATGTCTGAGTGGCCCATGTTTTTTCACATTTAAGTTCTCTTAGGCTTTGATTTGATTTTTCGAGTGTGGTAAAAGTCAGTGATGGCAGTGTGTCTGTATAACAAGAAGAGAAGCTTTCTCTTCTGATGTTAGTGATACTTCCCTAACAAACAGTATGGATTAATAGGATACATCTGCAGACTTTTGAAAATATTTGGCATATACTCACTCATTCTGAAACACAGGAAGTAAAGAAATATTACGTTGCCTGTATCTCAAAGAACAAACAGAGCTAATTAAATAATTGGCAAATAGGGAACACATAGCCTGACACATGTTTGAGATTACACACGATTCTGTAGAAAATGACTGTAAGCAATACTAATGCCTTAAGAATGGGGTTCAAGCACTAACACATGGACATCACATTTTTCACGTTTTCTTGGTAAAAAGTTGCAAGACAGTGCAGTCTTTTCATACGGGGTGTTGATGTCTTAGGAAGCTGCTTTTTCAGTTTAGAAGAGGGCTGCTGCCCTTCATTTCAGTGTCATGTTATAATATGTCTTTCTGGTGGTCAGCAGTTGTCCTGAACTGACACTAGAACAACGCAGTGGGGTGAGATACAAGCTCTAGAACTCTCAGAAAGGAACCTCTCTGTAACCACATTCCCTTTCTTCTTCTTCTGTCCTCTGCATCTCAAAGATGGAAGATGTCCACTGAGGTTTACTATTTGTTTGGCTTGGGGGAGTGACTGGGTGTTTCTTGCTTTGTTTTCTTTTGCGCTGTAATACCCAATATCATTTTTTTGAGAAATCCTTAAGAATGATAAGGCTTACTTGGATTACATTAATGAGGTGTGTGGTTTTGTTTGTTTGTTTGTTTGTTTGTTTTGGTTTTTTTATGACACATTCATCCATGGATTTTCAAGAGAATTGTAGAACAAGGTATTTTATTCATCACATATAGTCCGCTACTTTTCTCAAGCCTCACTGGCACACTCTGGAGATCATATTAGACCTTTCTGAATTGAAAGGGTCATCTAATTAGCCCTACAGTTAGAGGAATATAATGTATGGGGCACAAGCATGGATTCACAGTAGTTCAGCTGGCGACACACCCAGTTAAGGAGAGAAGCTGTCAGGGGTCTTTGGGAGTTACCAGCATCAGTACCTTCTACGCAGTTCTTCAGACTCTTTCAATGTTATGCCACTGGGCATTCTCAGAAGCAGTGCAGTTCAGTGCCTCTGCATCTGAGCATACATACGGAGGAGGAAGTGTAGTACGTTATTAGATACCAGCTATAGCGAATAGGAATGTCTACAGGATAGTAACCATAAATATTTGGTTAGCCACATATTTCCTTCCTATTTGCAATAGTATCCAGTAGCCCTTCCTGATGGAAAGAAGTAAGAGGACCTCCTACCATAGCACAGACCACTGAGACTGCTCAAGGATAAGAATGCTTTATCTCCCCATTGGGACATACCATCTGTATACATTCACAGGGTGTGACCCTTTGTGGTTTGAGGCTACACACACTCTCTTGCCCTCAGAGAGAATTGGTCATATAACTAACATAATGGTTATAATAACAATTATTGTTTTATTAGTCTTTAACTGGACTGCTTTCTAATACATGGTCTTTTCCATGTTTTTAAACCTCAAACCAGTGTTGAAGGAAGAGACTACCAAGATTGATTTAATACACCATATGCTAAAGATTACCCTGGAATATCTATTTGGTTCATGAATTAATCTGGCTTAGAACTTTCATCTCTAATGACATGTTTGAATGACATGTTAGTATGTGGCTTGTCTAGTAGAAACATTATGTCCTTTTCCCCTTGAGGACTTGTTTTCACAGTAATTTTATTATTAGAGTAGTCGCATAATGTTCACTTTATATTTTACAAGAATATTGAGCCTTGAAATAGTCGGGTGATGAACAAGCACAGAGCATAAAAGTAATATGAATTTTATCCAGCAATGTCAAGGCGTCTTAGTTACCAAGACCACCAACAGAGAACATTAAACTAGTTTGATTTAAATCTCCTCTATTTCCTGTGCACAATTAGGAAGCCCAACTTCCCCCTGAATTCCTAGGAATCCCTCTTGTTAAAAATTAGTGCATTGTAGTCTATATACTTGAGTTTTTATTTTGAAATGGTTGTAGTAGGAGTGCTGGAAATGCTCCCTCTTTTTGTCATCTTTATGGATAAGCACATGGTATTGTTATGCTGTTTCTAATGGTTTCATAACATGAGGGTCACTCGGACACTGTTTAGAAAACCCTACTTTGAAAGCAGTCATCTCTCAAGCAAACACAGTGTGAATTGTGCTTCTTATTCCTTTGATGCCTTCATGATGTTCCCAGCCTTAGATGATGGGTGTGCGTTAAAGGGGCAACACATTTTCCAAATTCTGATTTGTAGTAGTTGATCCCAAGGCACCGCTCATCCCACTGTTTTGTTGAGGGTGTGTTCTAATGGGAATGAACATTTCCCCAAAGCTGAGACTGAGACAGAGGGTGGTCTAGCATGTAGCCCAAGATACAAAACCCTTATTTCTGCTTCATCTTCTAGCCAGCAACACCACCTGTGTTCAAGCCATCTGAACAATACTTGGGTGGCAGGCAGTGTCGAAGCCTCCTACAAAATTTACAGTTCCTCTTAATAACTGCTCATCTTCCATTCACATTTGTATGTTACAGCTTTACTTAGGGACTGATTATATTTCTCTTGGGCAAGATAAATTGATTAGAGCCAAAAGTAGAAATCAATAAAGTCTTTACCAAGCAAATGCATTGGTTTTCATCCTTATTTCTGTTACATGGACATTTTGATCATCTCTAATATGAATTGATAAAAATCTTGGGCCTCAAAGAGTAGTCAAGTCCTCTTACATTAAAGCTGAAAATGCGGGTTTGATGTATCTTGCTAAACATGGCCCACTTCTCAATGCAAAAAAAAAAAAAAAAAAAATTCTGCCACTTGAGAATTAAAATATATTTACCTTCCAGTTATACCCTTTGTTATATCAGTCACACAAATAAAAAGAGAAATCTGTAAGAGAAAGACCCAAGTAGCTTAACATGTTCAGGGAATCTAGAAAATGTAGCTTCTCCAGTGTTTCCTGGACCAGAGCAAAAGGCATTCCAAGTGTAAGGGCAAACGGGCCCCAGTAAACTGCTTTGAAATTTAAGCCCTTGGGTTTGGCACTCCAGCTGTTGCAAGGTAAAATGGCTTCATGTTAAAAAATAGTCTGTTCTTATCAGTGATTTCCATGAGTAGCCTTTGTAGTTTTCTGAAATATTTTCATGACATGATGAGGTAAGCAGTTGATTCTATTTTTAATTCTATTTCCTGAGTCATAATATCTCCCTGCATAAAACAGGCACTGATAGAAAGTTTAGTTAGAAAGGCATAGTTCTAAAGAAATCAGAATGATCATAATATCTTGCCTCTTCTAACGTGTGATTTTTGGGGCATACATATTTAGTTTTTAAATGCTCCTAAAATATTTTTATTGGTGTTCAATACTTTGTTTAGTTTCATAAATATATGTATATTATTTATAATCTTCATTTTAAAGTTGTTTAAAGGAAGAATTAATCTTTTGAAAGCCACTACAGTAGCAGATATTATTTGTAATGAAGCAATATCTTGTTCTTTTTTGGCTTAGGTTCTTTGTTAGATAATGTGATTTTTCCAATGTAGCGCCAAACTTTTTGTGAAAATCTGTATTCAAATGAAGCAAATATCACAAATTATTTTGGCTGGTAGATCTAATTTTTAGGTATATAATAATGATAAGAAATATTGCTCCTAGGGAAAAAAAAAAAAAAGATAAGTACCCCCAAATACGATGGTAATGCATACTGAAAAAAGGTTAGTGTCACCTATATTTCACATAATTATTATTTTCTGTTTATAATGGTTTTTAGGTTTGTTTGTTCTTGTTGTTTGAGGCAGAGTTTTGCTCCTGTTGCCCAGGCTGGAGTGCAATGGCACTATCTCAATCTCCTGGGTTCAAGCGATTCTCCTGCCTTAGCCAGGCATAGTGGTGCATGCCTGCAATCCCTGTTTTTAGTTTTTAAAGGACTCCTTAATACAGAAATTCTTCTCATTTTCACACTAGATATAATTTGTTGTATTTTATCTTATATTAAATATGTTTAATACTATTGATATCTGAGTTGCTCTCACCGGTCCAATTGTATGATGTCAGACCCTCATTTCTAAGAACTTGCTTATACAATACCTATCATGAGTGCTAATGACTCATGTATTTTAATATCATAACTTTGTGATATGGAAAAGAAGTTTGTTTTATCACAAGGTAATTGTGTTCTTTTTATCATGTGCCAGTTTTCTTTCAGCATTTTAGCAATTAACAAATAAATATGGGTATGGGTTTTGTAAACCAAATAAAGCATATATCAAAACATTATCGGGTGGGTGCTTTGGCTCACTCCTGTAATCCAGCACTTTGGGAGGCCAAGGCGGGCGGATCACGAGGTCAGGAGTTCAAGACCAGCTTGACCAACATGGTGAAACCCTGTGTCTACTAAAAATACAAAAATTAGCCAGCGTGGTGGCATGCGCCTGTAATCGCAGCTACTCAGGAGGCTGAGGCAGGAGAATCGCTTGAACTCGGAAGGTGGAGGTTGCAGTGAGCCGAGATTGTGCCACTGCACTCCAGCCTGGGCAACAGAACAAGACTCCGTCTCAAAAAAAAAAAAAAAAAAAAAAACTATCTAACTGAGACAGCCAAAATATAAATATATGAAAATAACAAGCATAAATTAGCTATGCTAAGCAGAGGTCAGGAGAATTAAATTATGACCTGGAAAAGCCATAGAATTGGACCACTGAAGATCTGACCCCACTACTGCATTTTAAAAGTGTGGAAGATGATGACAACACATTTGAGAAGGCTCTCTTAGTTCAAGAATGGAGCTGGCAAGTCTTTTAAATTATATACCTGTTTAATGAAATTTTGCTTGGATTCATTGGGTGATTTAAGCTTTTCTTTTCTTATTTCACAAAATAGTGAAAAAAACTTTCCTCCAGAACGTTAATAGGTTTTATTTAGATACTATGTCTATTTGCTAATGTTGAGGCTTTAATAAATACAACATACCCCAAGTTCTAGGCATTCTGTTAATACTGAAGACTTCACAGGAATCCTGGAAATCCCATTTTATCACTTAGTTCTAAAGGCAAGATACCTTCAAACGATACATGTTAAAGAAAGCTGGCTTTGAATTATATACTGGAATATATGTCTTTTATTATTCACAATACTCTTTGTTCTTCTCTTCTGTAGATAAAAATACCAGTGTTTAAGGCAGTAGAGATAAGCTTCATGAATATGTAGACTTACTTTATCTCTGGAATTTGAGACCATATTGACTTTTAGTAGCATACCAGTTCACTTTTTTTAGTGTTTACACAGACTTTTAAATATGTGGAGAATATATGTTATTTAAAACATTAAACATATTTTCTCTCCTTGTTAGTCAGATCTGTTGTGGAAATTTTTGTTTGTTTGTTTGGTGTACTGTGGAACTATGAGACGAATTCCCCGTTTTGCTATGTATCAAATTTCTATTTATTTGAAAACAGGTGGAAGTTATTTGTGAAGATAATTCCGTTTACTATAAAATAATATAAAGAAAAGCCAGACTCTGAGGACTCCAGAGACCTGAAAGTACTACATACTTGTCAGCAATGACCATCACATAGCTTGCTACATTCACCAGCTCATCAATAGCAAGGGGAAAGTCATAACAAGGAAACCACTTTATCTTTAAACCAAGGTGTCCGGTTTATATTTTATCTGTAAAAAAAGTAACATGAATATATTTGACATCTACCTCAGCAAACAAATTAATGCTAATTAAAGATTAATGTGTTGTAATTAGCATTAAAAATGCAATTAAATTGTGAGTAAATGGACCAGGAATAGAAAATTGTTAGACGTCTCACTGCCTGGTTTTCATATTCTGCCTTTTGTTTTTGCAGCAAATAGAGGAAGCGGGGCAGCCGGCAGCTCCCAGACTGGAGATGCTCTGGGGAAAGCACTTGCTTCGGTGAGGAAATATTGACTTTGGACTCCATATGTACCATTGTAAAGGGTGAACTTTAATCAGAAGTGGACATTTGGAATTTTAGAAAGTGAATGGCAAATAGCTTTGATTTTTAGAAAATGCTAGCTTTCGTGCATAACAGTCACTGGAAAATTTGAGAAGGCTCTGAAGCTTCCAGTATCTAGACAGTCTCTTTCTCTCATCCTCGCAATGGTACTAAGCCTGACTCAATTATGGATTTGGGAATATTCTCCTGGCCTTTGGTTTATCGGTTTTTTATACTGATGTCATATTTTACTCTAACGTAGTAATGGCGCACATTGACCAACTAAGACTGTCTTAGCAAGGAATAGTTCTAAAACACTTTGAAAGAGGCATTTGAAAAAAAAAAAAAATGACTGAAGTCCATGAAGAATTGTCACATAATTGGCACCTGGGAGACTCAGATTCTCTGCTTTACCCAGCTACTGCCAGAAAGCTAAAATTGAACATTTCTTGCATGTTCCCTGATGAGAAAATGGCATACCTTCATTGTCTCAGAGAGTATATCTGGTATTTTAGTCAAAAGCTAAACATGGTCATTTAGAAATGTAAGTGGAGGGCCGGGCATGGTAGCTCACACCTGTAATCCCAGCACTTTGGGAGGCCAAGGTGGGAGGATCACTTGAGGTCAGGAGTTCAGGACTAGCCTGGCCAGCACGATGAAACCCTGTCACTACTAAAAACACAAAAATTAGCTGGGCATGGGTAGCGCATGCCTGTAATCCCAGCTACTGTGGAGGCTGAGGCAGGAGAATTGCTTGAACCCGAGAGGTAGAGGTTGCAGTGAGCTGAGATCATGCCACTGCCCTCCAACCTGGGTGACAGAGCAAGACTCCATCTCATAAATAAATAAATGTAAGTGGAGATTTGTTTCTCTAAGATTTTGTCTCTTCAGTTGGCTTTTACCATTGGGAGCATTAAAAAAGTTCACACTATTTTAGCATTGTGCCCTAAGTAAAAGTTTTTGTTTCATCTGGGCCTTCTGATGCTATGGAATCAAATGCCTAAATCTGACAAACAAGTGGCAAAATATCTTAGGAATGATCCTCATTTTGTAAATGAGGAAAGGAAAGTTCAGAGTATCTGCCTGGCTTGCCCATAGCCACACAGCCAGTGGGAACGAAGAGCTGAATTGAAGTCTGCTGACCCCAGCCTGGCTCTTTTCCCACCAACCCATACCACATCAGTAATTCTTGTTTTGAAAAATTAAAATAATTGTTAAGTTCTTCATTTGACAATATTGGTAATGTAGTTGATTGTTACATGTATTTTGTAACTGGTAAGTTTTAAATGAATTGCATTGACAACTTTGTAGTTTAGAAAAATGTGAATTATTTTAATGAATGAGGGTGTTTTTTTTTTCTCCCTATGTTTTAAGATCTATTCTCCAGATCACACTAACAACAGCTTTTCATCAAACCCTTCAACTCCTGTTGGCTCTCCTCCGTCTCTCTCAGGTAGTGTATTTCAAATCCCATTTCATCATACAATAGTTTATAAGAATGATTCCCCCCTTATACTTCCTGATTTTGTAGGTAGAAACTCACTTCCCCGCAAATCCCAAAGCTTGACATTCCTATAACAGACAAATACAAAGGGTGGGAGAGACAAATTGCCAGATAACAGTTTCGTCGTTTACATCCAAACCTTTTCTTAAAAATTAGATTATCTTTTTAAAATATGCAGACATATGGAAAATGTATTTCTTACACTTTTCTTAGCTCCGCAGAAGACACTCAACAGCAGAATAATGTATTCCAATAAAACTTCTCAGATGAAAAAAACTCAGTTAATATAGTCATGAATATGAATATAGACTATAGAGTCATCAAATATAGACTATTTAAATGGATCATTTCCTGCAGAAATTTTAGGCTTTCCAAATTCCCTCTTTAAAGTTCATGCCATTGGGATGTGTGGAGGAAACTATAATTTTGTAAATAAATTGTGAAGTAATTGTGTGGAGTAGAAGGGATGTTTGACTTCAAAGTATACAATGCATATGACCTGTGGCTTCAGATTGAATAATTGTAATTTGTAGAATTATGTCAGTAAATGATTTCACTTATCAGGGTTCTGTTTAAGAGACTCATTGTCTTTCCAGCATAAACGCTTCCAGAAAGCCTTCCCTGGTTCATGTCTCTGCTCTTTGGTAAGGGGACAGGTGGTTTATTAAAAAAACAAAACAAAACAACAACAACAACAAAATCTAAATCACATCTGTACCTGATGGAAACCTTGGCTTACTGTAATTTACAGTGGAGTCACTTGCCTATATATTTCCTGCATGCAGCTCTCATGGCCCAGTGTAAACTCGGCTCCTTGGTTGAGGACAGGAGGTTTCATTGCCACAAAACTTTCAGAAATGATGGCCATGGCTTAGCTGGGATTTAATGTCAGCCTCTTCCAAGCCTCTGTGGTATGGGAAGATCACAGAATAGAGAGAGCAGTTGGATTCTGAAGTCTATATGTCCAGAGAGACCGCGTTGAAACTGAGATGCAATTGAGGTGATTTTAAGAGGGTAATGAAACGTTCCCCTAGGTGGAAATAGGAAGTAGAGTTCAGTATTGTTCTGTACCAGATTCTTACACTCTGAAAAATGATTTCAAGTGTCAGTATCCCCCTTTCGAGACAACAAGAAATAGAGAAATCTGAGCAGGTGGAACTCCAGTTTCCACATTTCAAACAAAGTAGCTTTCATTTTTTTCATTTTCTAATTTAGGAAAAGAAAATGTTCTGTGGTATCATAATGTTTGAGAACAACTAATGTAGTCTGATACCCTGATTTTACAGATGAGAATACTGAGTCCCAGAAAGGGAGTTGAGTTGTTGCGTTTATACCGGTAGTAATAGCAGAGCTTGGACAAAAATCTGGTGCTCACAGTTCTGCCGTCCATTTCTAGATTAATGGTGGGAAAGAAAAATTGGGATGCACAGTCAGTCCAGAAAACATCACAAATTCCCTTGACCTGAGTAGCATGCTCTCAGTGAAAGGCACAGAAACAAGGCTAGAGATGCCACTTTTTGAGTCTTGGTAATGCATCATGGAAGACCACATGTTAGGAAGAAAGAACTTTTATGAAGATGCAAATATGGGGACAGATTGCTATTTTCACACCGACGGCTCTGTCCAAATTCTGTCAAGAAAAGTAATTGAACAAAATATTCTATTTTTATTTAGCATAAAAATATACATGCACACCCAGAAAAGACAGGAAGAGTGGATTTTAAAAGTGCTAACAGTGTCGGGGCATGAGATTTCAGTGAGATCATAGCTATTATTTTTTCCTTTTTTGAATTATGTATTTTCCAAGTTTTCTACAGTGAATGTGTATTATTTTAAATTTAAAGTGTTTTTTATTTTGTAGGTTAGACATGTAATATGTATTCTAACAGCAGTCTTTTTTTAGCCTTCAAGTTTAGTGAATCATAAAAAAAATTACTTTCTTCAGAAGAAACTTATAGTTGTTGCTGTATATTGACTTTAAATTTCCGGCTTAGTGGATCACTGATAACTAATCTTATTCTCTTAAAAAGTTTTTCAAGATTTATCTTTTTCTAAAGATTGTTTTAAAAACAAGTAGCAAAGCTGTTTTCCATTGGTGCAAGAATTTTGGTTTAACATAAACTGGCCTTGCATGAAGGTCTAACAAAATCCCATTTTTGTACCCTTAAAAGTACCTTGACTCCATAGTGATAGTTTTTCTTCCACAGGAACCCTTCTAACCAAAATTCGGAATCAATTAAATATTCTCGTTTAGGAGACAGCCAGCCTGGGGGAATTGTGAGTCTATGTAAAGTCTACATATTTTACATTTAAAATGTTTTTCTTGTCCCAAAATTCTAATATGGGAAGTTTACATGCATTTACCTTATTGTTTAAATGAAAATCATCATTGCCGTCTCCAACAGGACTGTTTGAAATATTGGCAAGCATCTTTTTACGTGCGTCTAGATCTGATTGAAATTCCCATTTTAATATCAGCAGGCACAGCTGTTTGGTCTAGAAATGGAGGACAGGCCTCATCGTCTCCTAATTATGAAGGACCCTTACACTCTTTGGTATGTCTCATTTGCCAATCTCTGTTTCACCCATTTCCAGGTCATGTTCTTTCTTGTTCAGTCTCCTTCACTCTCCAAGATTCTGATTTTCCCTGTTAGTAACTTTAAGTCAGTGTTAAGCGCACAAGTTTGCTGGAGCCAGAGTCATTAGGCTATGCTTGTTCCTATTTGGAAATGGGAACCCAGATACTACTGTAACGGAAGCCGCAGGGCTCTAAATATCTAAGTACCAGATAAAATCCTGGAAGGGCAATGGTCTCCTCCCCATCTCTAAGAAAGATCCCTGTCAATGATTAAATCACTTTCCTGCTATCAGAGTGCTGGAACTCCAGCTATGTCCTATACCTGGAACATTTGATTTCGTCTACCTCGGCTTTACTTTCCAGAATAACAAGTTTACAGGAGATTTCCTTCTCGTAGAAACCCACTGGTATCCTTCGTGGTAGAGAAATGCCTACTCTTCCAGGAGGGAATTGCTGAAAATTTCCATGGATGAAATTAATTATTATAAATACTCACATGATGATTCAGTGTCTGACACTTCAGTCTTTCTCTCCTCATGATGGTGGGGGCCAGAAATATGCATGAAACAACGCTGGTTGTACAGCATTTAGGCGGTACATGAATCTAGTGGGAAGGAATAGCAGTGAGGGAGAGGAGCCTTTTAGTTCCTCGGGGTTGAGATTTTCTTTTCTCCCTCATATCCTGAGATGACACATGGAAGAAGACATAGATTTATCTGTCTGCCTTAGTGTTGTCTTATATACTTCCCTTTCAGCTTAATCTTGAGGAAAATCTGAAAAGCACAGCAAAGGTGGATTTCCCTCCTTTGTTGTGTTCTTCCTTGCTATAGTGTATGAATCATTCAGCTATGCATTTTACCCAATAAAGGAAACCGGACAGTGAAACATATATGCACTACCCAGTCCAATTAGTCTGTGGACCACATCCAAATAATTAGTTGTTTTAGTGTTTTCCTTAATCAGTTATTCTCTGGGTCCTATTCATCAAAACCAGGCTTCATCCAACTATAGAACTGTAAAGATGAGGTGTATAGTTATGGACCACAGCTTCCATTCTGTTTGAATTCTGAACACTGAAGAAGAGATTCACAAGCAGAAACTGCTCTCTCTACCAGGAAGCTGTGAGCCAGAAACTGTGATAGACACATGTATGATTTCTTTTCCTGCATATATTTACACTCAGAAGTAAGTATGTATTATCATTCCCATATTTATAAATTAAAAAGCATACACTCTAAGAGGTTTAGTAACTTTTCCAAGGCCAAGTACGTAGCAAAGCTAGCAGTCTAGGGAAGGTAGTTTAACCCCCAAACCCACCAAATCAAAATGTTCTGTACCATAGACTACTATATTAGACACACATTCTTCCTGTCAGTATAGAATAATTAGAAATGGTTTTTCTCATGCAGTAGAGCTGGTACTCGTGTTTGCACAGCCCATTCAAATCAAAGTCGATTGTAGCATAATCTAGTACAAAGAGTCACTAGATTTAAAATAAAAAGACCTAGATTCAAACTCAGACTTTACCATTTCCTAGCAGTGTGACACTATGTAATTAATTCACTTCATGTCTTTGAGCCTCATTTTCATGTCTGTATGGAAGGGATCATAATGTCTTCCCTGCCTGCCCATACACACGTGAAACAAGGATCAATGAGATGGCATATTTTAAATAGTGTACACTGGACAGTGGTATTTGATACCATTATTGATCACAGTTTTTAAAATGAATACATATTTTTAAAATGAATACACACTTTTTCTTCACTAAAAACTATAGGTATTGTCTAGTCGTGAAAAACTAGTATCGTAATGGCAAGGATGAACAAAGAAAGGTTGGTTGGTTTTTAATGGTTTAAAGTCGTGAATTCTATACTGTGGTTGGGGCTTTGAACTCAGTTAGATGCCCCCAGTGAACAATTGATTCAAGTGTTTGTGATTCTTCAGTCTTAAAATCTTATACTACTTTAGTTGACGGAATTTATATAATTTTTTTCTGTAACCATTTTGAGGCCCTTACACACATACCACCACACACCCACTGGTTTTGATGACAGACAGAAAGCCAGAAACACCCTGTAAAAACTCAACAAGGAATTATCATCCATTTGCTTTTCCCTGTCTCTGATTTGATACTTAGCACTGTGTCTTATACCATAGGGAAGACCAAAGAAATATACCTTCAGGAAAATAATTTAATTAAGAAACTATAAATAGGTCATCTTTCCAGTGCTAATTGTTTAAAACTCTTTAACTTAATACCTGCCAGAAAGTTCCTTAAATTCAGTGAACATTTTTCTCTTATAAATCTAAATTGTCTTTCAAAAGGCAGTACCGTATATAGCACATGTACGTTATAATGCCCTGGAATAATTATTGAATTTAGTTTGTTCATGAAAAAATAACTCTATAATTTTAACATTAACATGTTCTACCAGTTTTCTGGAAACAACACTATTTGTATTAACATTGTTTTAAGGAAAAACCCGCAGTGTGTTTTTTGCCAACTAAAGTTTTACTTATGTAATTTAGGCACCCCTTTTGAACTAAATCAAATTTTACATTATTTGTTGACCAACAGCAAAGCCGAATTGAAGATCGTTTAGAAAGACTGGATGATGCTATTCATGTTCTCCGGAACCATGCAGTGGGCCCATCCACAGCTATGCCTGGTGGTCATGGGGACATGCATGGAATCATTGGACCTTCTCATAATGGAGCCATGGGTGGTCTGGGCTCAGGGTATGGAACCGGCCTTCTTTCAGCCAACAGACATTCACTCATGGTAAGTGATGAAATTTATAGACTCTATAGTTATCATACAGAGTTAGAATGTCAGGTATCGATACTATTGTTGCTGTTTTTTTAAAAAAATCAGCTTTATTGAGATATAATTCACTTAACATACAATGAGCCCATTTCAGGTGTACATTTCAAGTGTTTTAGTGTATTCACAAGGTTGTGCAACCATCACCATAGTCTAGGTTTTGAATATTTTTGCCCCCTGCAAAAAGAAAAGAACCCCTGGTGCCCATTAAGCAGTCATTCCCCATCCCTCCACTTCCAGCCCTTGGCAACCACTCCTCTACTTTGTCTATAGATTTACCTATTCTGGATATTTTGAATATATGGAGTCATACAACATGCAGTGGTCTTTTTTGACTTGGCTTCTTTTACTTAGTATGACTGTTGCAGTTTTTCCATAGTTTGCCACGTATTAGAGCTTCATTCATTTTTATTGTCAAGTAGTATTTCACTGTATGGACATACCACATTACACATTTGGGTTGTTCCAATTCCTTGGCTATGATGAATAATGCTTCTGTAAATATTCATGTTTAAGTTTTTGTGCAGACACATGTTTCCCTTTTAGAGTGAATTACTGGGTCATTGTTGGTGTTTGAAATTATTCATTTTGATGACCCTGGCCAAAATGTACAATTTGAGTTCATATTATAATATGACATTGCTAGTAATTCAAATATTAGTGTTTTTTTTTAATTAAAGAAGCCAAAATAGTATCTGTCAATTCTGAGTCTGGGAGATAGAAATATATGGTATATTTGTTTGTATAAATACATTGTGTGTGGCTGTGTAATTTAATAGAGTAGCTTTATCACTACCTATTTAGAGTAAGTCTTTATTTGAATTATATTTAAGCAGATTTGTCCATATTACAATTGTGATTTTTTTTTCCTCATTACTTTTGAAAGGATTTTGGAGATAATTCTTTTTGGGGATGATTATGAAGATTCAGAGACTCTTCTTAATAGAATATTAAGTGATGACAATTAATAAGGTGACCAGAGTGGTGGAGAATGTAACTTGACCAGGGATTCTCTGTAGTTCTGCTCCTCACAAGCTCTACCTGGTCTCTAAGCACCTTAGTATCCTGTTTTGTCCATTACAGGCTCGCTAAAAGTTGCTTGGATGAAGGTATATTTTCCATTATCACTGTAGCATTTCTCGTTTAAGCATGGTCCCAAAAGGAAATGCAAAATACATACAAATTATTATGAGGGTCTTTTTTTTTTTTTTTTTTTTGTTCTTACTCAGTAGTATTCTCCTGTCCATCTTTCAGTTTCTCTTAATAAAAGGCTAAGATTAAGAGTACCGTTCTGAACAGTGTAGTACTGAAATCTGCAACCAATTTGAAACCAAAAATACTGGTTTATAAATAGAAGCAATGAACTCACATCTAAAATGTGGAAAGATATTTTTGAATGCCAAAGAGAAATCTTTGTTTCTTTTCCTTGACCTCTGCCCTAAAAATTCATCATTGAGTAAAAATTGTTTATATGTTCATGGCAGTTGCTTAGAGTTTACAGAAGAAAAGTCTAGATTTTAATTTAGCTTGGCCTCAGGTAATGTGTTAAATACACTTGGGATGCATATAATATGAGATTTTCATTTGTACAGCTTTTTTTTTTTAACTACAATGTTTAAACAATACTGCTTTTAATTAAGAAATCTGGCTTTATTAAAAGCCAGATCTGTGACACATAACCATTTCTGTATATCTGCTCTCAATCAAGAGAAAAATAGTTTAATTTCTGTAGCTGTGTTCATTTTGCATATGTTAAACGGATGTAACATGCACCCAGGGCATTGCTTCAGAGACACAGTCTTTTCCATAAATATGTAAAGTTTTTCTTAAATACCAGATGTAGGTTAAGTGGTTCTTTTAAATATTAAACTATACATAAATGCTTTTTGGGACTATTTGACCTTTGAATTGCCTCCTTTTGGAGTCAGATTCAGAGGTGGGATGGGAGGAAAAGAATAGAATTATTTTTGGAGATAGGAAGTTGGACTGACCTCAGTAGAAGGGAAAGTGAGATGGTGGAATAGAACGGTAGAAAAAAAGGAAATAATTAGCCAGTATTACATAGAAACCCCTTTAATTTGATCTTGACATACACACACACACACACACACACACACACACACAAGCAATAAAGCCACCAGTTTTGCTGATAAGGAAGAGTTCCTGTTTTCTCCTCTGAAGACATTTAATATTCAATCAAGGACAGCCACAGAGCCAACCAGATCATAGCGTAACTCCAAAGATATGGCATGTCATCACCCTGCTGCCCTTTGAACCAAATGGGGTTTTGCAGTCTCTGTCCTTTCTTCTTGAAAACCATTCAGTGTGTCCCCAGAATCTGAGCTCCTCAGCCTGAAACACTAATGTGTGTGAAAAGGATTGGTTTGGCCTATCTTTCCGGTGCAAACTGGTATGCATTTTAAAACAAAAACGTAAGAACAAAGGAAATAGTTTTTGAATTTAATCAGTCTGAAGTTAGCCTTTGACCATTTGATACATTCCACAATAAAAAGGAAGTTTAAGGGGAAGGAAAAAAAAAAAACTCACCCCCTTACCCCCAACAACAAAAAAATTCAAGGAGGATACTGGTAATGTTTTCCACATTTGAATTTTAATACATGAAACAGGCTATAAAACTTTGGCCAGCTGCAGTAAATAAAGTAGCCGTGGGAGGTATGCACCGGAAACTTCAGCAGAGAGCACTGGTGAGAGTCTCATTCCCAACTACACACCTTCGTTTGTTGTTCTGGGCAGAAGCGAGTTGCAGTAACTTGATATTCATCCCAGTCCCGGTTTTGTTTTGAGCACATCACCTTTCTAACTCTCCTTAGTAATTCCTTCTGATTAAAGAATAGACAGCTTTGAAACCTTTGTACGCTTCTCGTTTCCTCTCTCCCCGCCTTCCAAAAATCAAAACAAAATGGCTTGATAACTTGGAAGGTGATATAAGCATTTCTTTCTGCAGCAGCTTGAAATCGTGGTGGGGAAGACTGTGGTTCTGCCTCGGCTGTTATGTTATCTCATTTAATTGCTAACATATTGTCCTTAGCTTTTGATTCATAAAATGTTTTCCTTGGAGTTCTGAAGTAGGTTTTCGGTGATTTACCAAGTATTAGTATAATGAAAGGGATTTTTTTTTCACAGCGGCATGGCTCATAACACGAGAGTGAATGTTTGTATACTTGCAAGCGTTCTGGATAATATTATTGAGCTATGCTTCTTTCCTGCTCAAAAACCTTCGCTGCCTTTCCATTATCTACAAGATAAAGACCAATTCCTTAGCTCAGTGTTTGAAGCCCATTACCATTTACCGAAAGCCTTATGTTGAGCTCTTCCAATCTGCAACAAGTCTTCCAGCAAGACCAGGCTGGGCATATTACCAGAATTCACCCCGTATGTTCTCCTTCGGTACTTTTGTATCTCTCTGTCTTGTCCAGCCCTGTCTGCTTGTCTCTGTACACCTAATACCCACCCATTTTCAAAGCACTGACTCATATCATTCTTCTTCCAGGAAGCCTTCCCTTGCTCCCCCACCCATGCTAGCCATTTTTTTCTCTATTCTTACAGCCGTATGAATCATACCATTTCTAGATATTTATCTTACCCAGCTCCGCATAGCTGTGCATCTTTTATAGATATGACTCTGCCTTACCAACTGTTGTAAATTCCTCGAGTCCCACATATTATATTTTGTCTCTCTCCCCCCGACCCCCGTAAATAGATCATCCATAGAAACTGGAGAAAAGAAACTAGGAAACTAACATTTTCTGAGTGTGAGTTGGCAGCCCCTCTGCTAGGCGCTCTGCATGCGTTGTCTTAGGCAGTCTTCGCAACAGCCCAGTCAGGGTGATAATAGTGGCCATTTCAGGTGTCGGTAAAGTGAGCCTTAGAAGTTTGAGCAGTTAGTCTCAAGTCGTGCAGCTGGAGTTAAACTCAAGCACATCAACTCCAAATTCAATGCTCTTTTTTACTACTAAGCATACTCTCCAGAGATTATCTATAAGAACACCTTTTCAGAACTTATTTTAAATGCTAGGAGCTTGTGATTTTCAAACCTTGATAAGTGTTGGTTGGCAAAAGAGGTTTCCAGGTATTCCATGGCTGGGTTCCCAGAGCAGCTCTCTTCCCAAATGTATAGACAGAGAACTTTCCCTCCAATGTGGTGGCATGCTTGGATTAAAACTCACATTGTCTCTCCACTTATTCTTAAACCAACATGTTTGTGCTGAGTGCCTCAGAGGTGTGAACTCTCCCTACCAGGGTCCTTGAGGTAGCAAATTTTAAGTTATCAAATTATTTTTCCTACTATAACTACCCACTTTTCTTCCAAAATTAAAGCAGAAATCTCTGAATGTGGGAGAATAAGGAAATAGCCAGGTCTTCAATACCCTAGTTAGAAACTCTTATCAAGTATGATTCCCTCTCTGCCTCAGAGACCTCCATGATTAATCCTGATATTAAATGATTAGATTTCTTATAAATTATGGAAAGGGCAATTTTCCAGATATAATTCTCTCTGTTATTCATTCAGTATTCAGATCCACAGATGAGACCTGAAAAGAAGCCTTTCAAATGACCTAACTTCTTTTTTAACTGAATAAGAACAAAACCCACATCAAACTTGTCTTTATGTGACTCTATGTGTTCCTGTTTATTTGTTGATAGAGTCAGCAATGATGGGATCATTGAGCTAAAAATCCCCTCTACTATTCATATATCGCATTAGTGTAGCTCTCAGGTCCTTTTTGTTTAAAGTCTGTTTATTCATTCCAATAACATTTATCCGTGGTTACCAAGTGTAGGCTCTGTGCTCTCAAGGAATTCACAGACTAGTAGGAAAAGATGTGTGTTTAAGCAGAGTGCTCCCTGCCAGTCTGCTATGCCGTCTAAAAGACCAGGGGCCCGACTCCTATCCAGTAGTGAAAGATCACATGGTTGTTTGGTAGACGAGTGGTCAT